CCCAGGCTGAAGAGCAGTGGTATGATCTCGGCTCACTGCAACCTATGCCTCCCAGGTTCAAGTGATTCTCCTGCCTCAGCCTCCCAGGTAGCTGGGATTAGACGCCCGCCAACAAGACTGGCTACCTTTCTTTTGCACTACTTTGTGCAGGTACTCTTCTGTCCTTCCTACATGCCTGTGATTGTATAAAGGAGCAGGGTTCCCGCCCACTTGCACTTGATAGAAGCCCCAGGCCTGTCCGCCTTGGAACACTAAGTATAAACTGGGTTGTGTTTATGGCAAATGAAGGATGGAATAGATTACATAGATTACACCACTTATAAATCAGTAAAAAAAAATAACTTGTTTTTGGGCCTCTTCTCACTATCATATCATATCATATCATGTCATATAGCCTTGTGGAAGTTAGATACAGGAGAAAGGGACCCCAGGCTACTTTTAGTGTAGGCCTTACAAAAAGAATCCTGCAATAAGCCATTGCAGTCTATAGAGATCTCATACAGATCTATCTAGGGTCCTGTGGTAACGAATGGTTTACATTTCCCTACAGTGCATGGTGGTAATTATTGGTGTGTGTTGCCTCTGTATAGTTCCTTTAGGAAGGCTACGTGGTGGCAAACAGCTGAATGAGGACTTATAAATTCAGGATTTCCTCTGGCTGTATTTCAGCTTAATGAAAAAGAGGGAAATAACCAAAGGAAGCTGTTGTTATAGACCTTCTGCAAGGAAATAAGTTCCAGGGCCACTATTAGGGTCAGTATTCACTTAGCCCTATGTTTCATACCATCTATAGCCTCATTTTTAGAACAATACCTAGGTTTCAAGAAAACCTTGACCATATTCCATTTTTAAAAGCAGGGCATTCAAAGTATATGTTTGTCTTTTAGATAAAACTCTACTAACAGAAAGAAAACTAGAACTAGAAATGGAGTTAGCCAAGGTTTTACAGTAGGATTTATAGAGAAAATTACATTGGAAAACAAAAAAAATACCAGTTATATGACTTGTTTAAAGAGCTTTTGACTTTTTGTACATAACAGATACTATAAAAAAAACTTTTATAAAAGCAATGAAAAAAATCTGTTGAAATATACATGAGAAACACAATTTTCACAATGGAATTTCCAGCTGATTAAATTTCTGTGTAATTAAATAAGCATGTGTGACAGGTTTTGTGTCTTGTTTAGTAATTTCACAACTTTGTAACTTTCTGAAAGCAGAATCTCAATGCTTTTATCTGAAAATTTTCCATAGGATATATCACGCCTTTTTTTTTTTTCTTGACACAGGGTCTCACTTTGTCACCCAGGCTGAGTGCAGTGGCTCAATCATAGCTCACCGAGACCTCAAACTCCAGGGCTCAAGTGATCCTCCCACCTCAGCCCCCCCAAGTAGCTGGGACTATAGGCATGCTATTTTTTTTGTACTTTTCGTAGAGACAGGGTTCCACCACATTGCCCAGGCTGGTCTTGTACTCCTGAGCTCAAGTGATCTGCTCACCTTGGCCTCCCAAAGTGCTCAGATTACAGGTGGCAGGCACCGCTGCACCTGGCCTATCAGGCCTTTATTTAGCAGGGAGAAAATATTAAAGCAACATACTTTTAAGTTTCTTACGTATTATTTCTCTTTTCTTTCCAAATAGAAAATGGTCTGAAGACAATGATATGGTGCAATTCCTTGAAATCCTCCTTGGTCAGTGAAAGGGCTCAGATTTTTTTCCTTCAACTTAATCAGATGAAGAGTGAGAGGATAGATAAGTGTTTAAGAGTACACAGAGAGACACACATATGCACTTGTATTTTAACCACCAGGGCTGTGTCAGTACAGAAAACATTTTATAAGATTTGATGGCCTGACTTTTAGATGCTGAATTATGTGTTTTAGTGGTAAAGATCTCAATGGCTTTGTTAAAATTCTAGTGAGCTTTTAAGTATTTTAAGATGTCAAATACTTGCTTTTTATTTGGAAAATATTTACAAATGTCTTATGGCGATAAATTTTTATTCCCAAATTTACTATGAATAAACATTTTGCTATAAACAGTAACCAAAGTACATATGCTTCAATTTTTGCAGCAAAAGATTTCACAAAAGCAACTGTCAACTATTTAAATAATCATAGTAGAATCTGCCCATAAAAAATACATATAATTCATATATTTTAGAGACATAAGGTCTTTCTCTGTCTCTCAGGCTGGAGCACAGTGGTGTAATCATTGGTCACTGCAGCCTCGACTTCCCAGGCTCAAGCTATCTTTCCACCTCAGCCTCCCAAGTAGCTGGGACTACAGGCGCGTGAATGCCACCACACTTGGCTGTCAGAAATTTTTTTTGTAGACACGGTTATGTTTCCCAGGCTGGTTTTGAACTCCTGGCCTCAAGTGATTCTCCTGCCTCAGTCTCCCAAAGTGTTGGGATTATAGGCATGAACCACTGCGCCTGGCCCCCAAAATTATTTTTGATATAGCAATGTTTTATCATTTTGCAAACACATAGCGCAAATGAAATCTTCCTAATGAATGTAATACATTTTGGTCTTTATTGTCTGCAGGCAGTAAAGAATCACTAACAGCAAATTGCTGATGTTTTATTCCCATAAAGTTTAGTTTTCTATTAAAGCTAACCAGGATAGTAACTCACTTTCCCAATACAAAAAAGGTTATTTATTTATTTAGGCAAGTCTTGCTCTGTCACCCAGGCTAGAGTGCAGTGGCAGATCTTGGCTCACTGCAACCTCCACCACCTGGGTTCAAGTGATTCTCCTGCCTCAACCTCCCGAGTAGCTGGGATTACAGGTGTGCGCCACCAGGTCAAGCTAATTTTTGTATTTTTGGTAGAGATGGGGTTTCACCATGTTGGCCAGGCTGGTCTTAAATTCCTGACCTCAAGTGATTAGCCCACCTCGGCCTCCCAAAGTGCTAGGATTACAGGCGTGAGCCACCACATCTGGCCCAAAAAGGTTTTTTTTTGTTTTTTTTTTTAAATTTATTTAAAGAAGGTTACCCTTTTTAAGGCATAAGAGCAGTTTATTTAAAACAGTAAATTCAGTACATTTATTCCTTTCAGATCAAAATTAACATATTCCGTATTAGTAAAATAAACAATGCTATCTTTTTTTTTTTTTCCTGAGACGGAGTTTTGCTCCATCGTGCAGGCTGGAGAACAGTGTCATGATTTTGGCTCACTGCAAGCTCTGCCTCCTGGGTTCAAGAGATTCTTCTGCCTCAGCCTCCTAAGTAGATGTGATTACAAGAGTGTGCCACCATGCCCGGCTTTTTTGTATTTTTAGTAGACGCGGGGTTTTTTGCTATGTTGGCCAGCCTGGTCTACGACTACTGACCTTAGGTGATCTGCCTGCCTTGGCGTCCCAAAGTGCTGGGATTATAGGCATGAGCCGCCACGGCCAGCTGACAATTCTGTCATTTTTGAAGAGGGCATTTAATTACTTTATTGTAACAAAATTTAAAAGAAATTTTTTTTTGAGACAGAGTCTGGCTCTGTGGCCCAGGCTGAATGTAATGGCGCAATCTTAGCTCACTGTAACCTCTACCTCCCCGGACAGAGTGATTCTCCTGCCTCAGCCTCCTGAATAGCTGGGATTACAGGTGTGTGCCACCATGCCTAGCTAATTTTTGTATTTTTAGTAGAGATGGGATTTCATTATGTTGGCCAGGCTGGTCTCGAACTCCTGACTTCATGATCCGCCCACCTTGGCCTCCCAAAGTGCTGGGATAACTGGTGTGAGCCACGGAGCTTGGTCATAACAAATCTTTTAACTCTGAAAAATACACAATTTGAGAAGAGTCACCAGTAAAGTATAATTCCATATGTACTAGCTTAAAAAATGTTCTAGACGTCCAGGATCTCTTCTAAAATTCGATCACTCTGGAAGACTGACAACAGTCTTACTAAATAACTTTACAAATAAATGAAAAATGGAGAAAAATTCTATTAAGGTGCTAGTCTTATTAAAATGAAATGGGCTATTCCCTCCCCCCACAAAAAAATTCAGAAAATAAAATTCATAAGTTGGTTGTAAGGTTATTTCTCATATTCGTTTTTCCTAATGACACCAATATATCGCCATTTACCTGGTTTAAAAACTGCAACTGTTTAAAGTGAACACGAGTGCTATGTTTTTGTAGCTTTACCATATCGAAGTTCAATCTGTAACTAACTTAGTAAAATACCTTAAATTCATAATGCATGCACGGTGAACAACATATGAGGACTCCTCCAAACTCTGCTGTTATCATAACGATCTGTTTTTTTGTTGTTGTTTGTGTTTTGAGACTGAGTCGGAGTCTCTCTCGGTCACCCAAGCTGTAATGCAGTGGTGCGATCTTGGCTCACTGCAGCCTCTGCCTCCCGGGTTGAAGGGATTCTCCTGCCTCAGCCTCCGGAGTAACCGGGACTACAGGGGCCCACCACCACGCCCGGCTAATCATTCGTATTTTTGGTAGAGACGGGGTTTCATCATGTTGACCAGGCTAGTCTCGAACCCCTGACCTCCAGTGATCCACCTGCCTCGGTCTCCCAACATAATGATCTGTTTCCCAACATAATGTTCTGTTTTAAGGTTGCAAATATTTCCATTAGGCATTTATGGGGCAAGTAGAGTGGGGCAGATGTGTCCCGGAGTGGGGCACAGTGGACAGGAAATAACGGTTTATAACATGAAAGCTTCTGACATGTATCTGACACTTCAGAGAGTGTGGCCGAATCTGCAGTTCTTAACAAACGGCTCGTTCCCAAACCATAGCCTCAACTCCGTCTGAGCGATATGGGCATGCTACCAGTACGGGAGAAATTGAGATACAAGAAACGCGCGAAAGGGAAAAACAAGGCTGGGCTGTTTCCTTCCTTTGGGGTAGAGACAGAGGCACAGAAGGCCTAGGTCTGGGGGGTTGGATCACCTCCATCGGGATGCGAAGCCGGGTGGGAGCCCAAGCAGCAGCAGGCTCACAGGATACCGGCCAGGGGAGCCTCGCGTCCACTTACCAGGCTAGGCCCAGGCACGTCCCCAGCGACAGCAGACTCAGGCCAGTCCGGGGATCCGCCCAGCCCCCGCCTCCGCCGCCTGGGGCCTCGGGGCTCTTCCCATCCTCGCTCCGCTTCCCGGGCTCCGCAGCAGGGGCTCCCTTGGGCCCCGACTTCTTCCGGCTCTTCACCTCAGACATGTCTGGAGGCCCTACAACGACAAGCCCCGGGCGGCTACTTCACCGGGGAAGCAGTACGTGGCCGCCTTGGCTTCTGCGGGAATCCTGGGCGGTGACCGCGCCCCCTCATAGACTTGGCACCGCCCAGAGCCCAGCCTCTTCTCTTTCCCCGCCATCCTCCTTGATTCTGATTCACTGAGTTTTTCAGCTACCTGCTCCCTAGTTCCCCTAGTCGAGATTGGCGGCGACCTCACCCCGCAGCGCCTTCCACCGCGCTATTGCTCCAAATCCGAGGAAATTCAAACTCCCGGGCGCGCGCAGGCTGACGGGACTAGAGGAGGAGGGGCGGGGTCGCGCGCGCCACGTCAAGCGCGCCGCCGCGGCCCGAATTCTGCCCTTGCGAGAAAGCGGCCAGTCCCTGTCCCTTCGTTACGCCCTCTCCGCGCGGTAGGCGGGCACTTCCCCTACGCGCGCGGGCAGGAGCAGCGGCGGGAGTGCGCGGCGGCAGCCGTGGCCGCCCTTTGTGGCTTAGTGTGTTTATTTGCATAAGCGGGCGCGCGCTGTCCGGGCTGGGCGTACCCAGCGGATTTTGGCTGCTCTGTTGTACAGAAGCGAAGAGGGGAAGAGTCTGTTCTATCCCTGGGCAAAAGGGATAGAACCGGAGGTGTGGAGTCTGGGCAGTCGGCGACCCGCGAAGACTTGAGGTGCCGCGGCGGCGTCCGGAGTAGCGCCGGGCTCCCTCGGGGTGCAGTTGCCGCCGTGGGAAGGGCGCCAAAGGCCGGGAACCCCTCATCCCTTTGTGTCTAGGAGTGGGGTCCATCGGGGGGCGGCCCGCGGGCCGGGCCTCACCGCGGCGCCCCGGGACTGTGGGGTCTGGCTGCAGCTTGGGTGGACGCCCACCTCGCCACCCTTCGGAGGTCCCTGGGTGTCTTCGCGCGCCCCGGGGCTGTGGAGATCCAGGTGAGGCGCCTGTGAGGACCGGACCTGCCCCGGGGCGCAGGATATGTGACTAGCCAGAGCCCCGCACTCCCGATTCCCGGAGGAAAACCCCTTTTGCTGTTTCCCCCGCATAGGCCTGGAGTCTCCTAGTCTTGTCCCCGAACTGCCGCCCTTCCCAGTAAGTCCTAGGCGCTAAGGCTTTGGGTAAGTTGACCTCCTCGCTTTTCTCCCTGAGCCAGGTTCTTTGGAGGCTCGGTAGCTGATTTCAGGGACTAGGAATTGGAGGACATGGAATATTTGATAACCATCCTTGTCCTGTACCAGGAAGAGAACTTATCTAAAGAGGAAGTAGTAAACTTGAGGTTTTTGAGGATAAACGTATAGTATGCTTTCTATTTTACATTTATGAAGAGTTTTGCTTTCCATTTTGTTGTGGGTTACAAAAGTTGGGACCCTTTGAGACTTTGTTCAGTTATTTTAATTTGTGCAGTTTTAAAACGTGTTTAAGGTTTGTATATTTTAGTTTAACAGGACTAGGTGAAATTGGAAATTAGTTCCAGAAAGCCAGTGTCTATTTGCTTAGCTATTGGACGTAACCTAAAAAATTCATTCATTCTTGTTTTTTCACATCGAATTTCATTACTGTAAATTGAGGAACATTTTATGTTTAAGAGGACAAAAACGTTAACATTTTAAAAAATGAGAGTTTTGATTCCAGTGAATAACTTTTTAACAGTTTCGTGCCACAGCTGGGCATTTTGTAAGCCTTGACAAGCACAGGCAAATGCCCTACGTCCCTATTTTTCCAAGTGCTATATTTGGTGACTTCAAAAATAGTCATTGAAGTTTGATAATTATTGCCCCTTTTCTGTGAGCTCTAAGTTACTTGTGCTCTGGTTTAGTACTTTGGCCATATTCACATTCTCCTTTTTCTTCTCTGATTAGACTGTGAATTATTTCAGGGAAATGACTCAATTTTTTTCTGTAGTCTTGGTGCCTGACACATAGGGAGGGGCACAAAGGTGTATTGAATGAATTAATTAATAAACCCATTTAGACTCACTATATACATTGGATAGAGTTCTGTTAGTGTTTTGAAAACCTGTAGATATTGTGAACTGGGTTTTATGCCCATGGAAAAATTTGTGTTACATTTGAAATAAAGTTGCTAGAAACTTCAAGTATTTTGCTATAAAGGCTATTATTTCCTCATGTCCTCTTGGTTTGAGAAGCAACATCTGAAAGTATTTCCTGTTGCTTTGTGGGAAATATGTTTAGCAAGGAAGACCTAGAACTGACATCCTCCTTGAATGAGAACTAATACTCAATACTAACAATGCTCTATTCAGTCTTATGTTTGATAAAGAAAACAAGAAGTCTCTTAATGTTAGGACTTCAGTGTAATCACTATTTTATACAATCTTAATTTAAAAAGGAAGTATTTTATTATAAAAAATGATAATGTATGTTAAAAACAATTAACAGTAGAGGCTGGGCATGGTGGGGCTCACATCTGTAATCCCAGCACTTTGGGAGGCTGTGGCTGGTGGATCACCTGAGGTCAGCAGTTTGAGACCAGGCTGGTCAACATGGTGAATCCCCGTCTCTACTACCAAAAAAAAAAAAAATTAAGGCAGGGTGGGAGAAATCCCAAATTTTGCTACTCAGAAGTAACCCAAACATTTTGATGAATAAACTTCTAAACATCTATATATTTGCATATGGTACCAACAGGCTTTATGTTATATGTGGGATCATATTTCTGTTTTTTCAGCAGCAGTGTTACGAACATCTTTCCATGTCAATACATAGAGATACGTGTCTTATAATTTTGAATGGTTGCATAATATTCCATTTTATATACATACCCTAATTTTTAAAATCCATATTCTGAATGATGGACATTTAGGTTGTCCGTCTTTATTTTTCATACTGAAACATCCTCCATTCATTCCTTTTTATTTTTATTTTTTAACGCTAGCCTCCCAATGTGCTGGGATTATAGGCTTGAGTCACCACATCTAATCTGAAGCTCATTAATTCTCCTAATGGATATTTTTACATATGTTTGTGAATGTCTCCTTGAGGTAAATTCTTAGAAGTGGGATTTCTAGGTTAGAGAGGAGACTTACTTTAAACACTTCTGTATCTTATACTGCCTTCTAGAAAAATTGCTTCTGTTTTCTACTTTCCCCAATTAGTACATAAGAATGCCCATTTTCTCATACCTTTCCAAGCATTGGGTTTTGTCCATTTAAAAATTTTTGCCAAGAAAAAACAATCAGTTTTGTTCTTTTTACACTTCTTGTTTACTAGTGAGATTATGTATCTTTTCATATATTTATTTGGCCTGACAAATATTTTGGTGTTTTGGCTGTAGCTCATGGTTGACAGCTCAAAGAGAAAAAGATTTGAGGGAGGATGGATGCAAAAGCTCGAAATTGTTTGCTTCAACATAGAGAAGCTCTGGAAAAGGATATCAAGACATCCTACATCATGGATCACATGATTAGTGATGGATTTTTAACAATATTAGAAGAGGAAAAAGTAAGAAATGAGGTAAAGCTCTCTGAGGTAGTCCACACTTTCTTAAACATTTTTAGAATTTTTAGAACTTGCCCTGGTCTCCACTAATTTATGTTGTGTACATACTCGTTGTATACTAAACTACTTAATTTTTTTTTTTAGCCCACTCAACAGCAAAGAGCAGCTATGCTAATTAAAATGATACTTAAAAAAGATAATGGTTCCTACATATCATTCTACAATGCTCTACTACATGAAGGATATAAAGATCTTGCTGCCCTTCTCCATGATGGCATTCCTGTTGTCTCTTCTTCCAGTGGTAAAGATTCAGTTACTGGAATAACTTCATATGGTTTGTATCCATTATACCTTCTGTAACTTTGCTATCAAAATTGCTGCTGGTTTGTCATATTATAGATGTAATTTCCTGAAAACAGTGTGACCAGTTCACTGAAAACTATATGTTGAAAAATTGTAGTGATGTTTTCAATTTAGATATTTCTTATTTGCATCCATGTTAAATCTCACATTTTCTTCTTGCCCAGTGAACTATACTGCTGAGATAATAATATGTCTACCCTAATTTTTAGAGACAATAAGACAATTTATAGGCCCTTGTTTATTTTCCAGTTTTATACGCTTATAAGAATTTATATGAAAATATAAGAATCTTTAGAAATATATGTTCTTGAAAGATATTCCATAAATGTTTCTCCTTTTATACTCTCCTTCCCAGTCTTCAATATGAGAGAGACTGAAAGTCAGGAAATAGTAGGGTGAGTAAAGGCAGATAACAGATAGAGGCTTCCATTTTCTTTAGTTACCTTGAAGGATGTGTGTTTGCCTTTGCTCTCTGTGTTCTGAGAAATCAGAAAATTGAAGTTAATACGCTAGCCACATTTTCTTACTTCTCGTGGAAATTTTCAGGCTAAGCCTCAGCTTTGCTCTCTGGTTTTTATGGTATTACTTCAGTGATCATTCCAAAGTTCTATTCATTCGTGCTTGTTTTGTTTTGGATTTTAGTAAGGACAGTCCTGTGTGAAGGTGGAGTACCACAGAGACCAGTTGTTTTTGTCGCAAGGAAGAAACTGGTGAATGCAATTCAGCAGAAGCTCTCGAAATTGAATGGTGACCCAGGATGGGTCACCATATATGGAATGGCAGGCTGTGGGAAGTCTGTATTAGCTGCAGAAGCTGTTAGAGATCATTCCCTCTTAAAACGTAAGTGTCTTAGTCTGTTTCATAGTCTAGTAAGGTAGATAGACATGTAAAAATACTATGATATATCAATATGTGATAAATGGAATGGTAGACGCAAGTATAAGGTACAGAGTTAGAACAAAGGAAAGGTATGTTAACTCTCGGGAGATTATGGATAGGGCAGGCTATCTGAATGAGATGACATTTTAGCAGGAGTTTGGAGGAAGAATAAAAGTTTGCCAGGGGGTAAAGGTAGGTATGGGAGAGTAGGGAAGTGGAAGAGTATTGGGTGGTTACTAGAGTAGGGAAGGGCATACTGAGTAGAAGATGGTTTAAGACATGTTGGCTGGTATACCACTGACCTTAGTGAATCTGGTAGGTTCTCAGGGTATTCATAAGGAAGAGTTGTATAGCTCCACCAGTTCTAGGCTGCCTCCATTCATCAGTGCGCTCTCATTCATCAGTGCGTTCTCTTTGCATTAACACTTCTAGGGTGATTGAAAGACAGTTACCAATTTCTAGCAGTTAATAAGTTTTTTTTAGTAGCTTAGGCGCAGTGGCTCATGCTTGTAATCCCAGCCGAGGTGGATGGATCACCTGAGGTCAGGTGTTCAAGACCAGCCTGGGCAACATGGTGAAACCCCGTCTCTACTAAAAATACAAAAAAAGTTAACTGGGTGTGGC